CTGTAAATCCCATCATCTATTGCACATGTCTCCCCAAACTCCTCCAGTAATTTCTGTTGGTCTTGGGAGTCCTGTATGCCAAGTTTGGTTCAATGCCATTATTGGTGAAGCTCAGAATATTCTTTGATGGCTGGTGAACTGTAACTCCACACAACTGCAATTGCCAAATGCCAGGGACTATTTTCCCTAAACACCAAAAAGGCACCAGTGAATGGTGCAGTATAAGAGGATGAAAGATAAAGACCAAGGTTCTCCTTAAAGAATTCTAATGGAGGGGAAAAATCTGTGTCAAAGAAGACCTTTAAAGGAGCATTTCCTCTTCTACAGGGCTAGCACCACTGTGGAATATATAGATCAGCTGTTCAGTGCTAGGAGACTGGAGCCATCAGCAGCTCAAATTTCATTTATAACATTTTGTACATTCTGCTGTATCACTTGAAGCATTTCCACAGCACGTAGCAGGCCTCAAACTCCACACTAGAAGGCATGAATTAGACTGTGATAGTCTCAAAATGTGATTTTGAAGCTAGGCTGAAAGGAATTTTGGAAAATGTCTCTCTATTTATTTTCTTAACTACAAAGGAGCAGAGAACATTTATCAAGAAAATAAATGTTTTGTAAAATAATCTTAAATTAATTGTACCCTTACATTATTAGCAAGTTCTGTTGGAATGTGTGTGTGTGATAGGGTTGCCAGAGCTAAAACTGGAAATGTTTTCTGTACCTTTAATGGTTGTACCGTAGTTCTCTATTTTATGCAGCCAGTAAAGGTACAAGAGCCATTTCCAGTTTTCACATGGGTAACCCTTTTTTATGTATGTACAGGTATATGGGGTGAAGTCCAACTATCCTATTAGAATGTTGTCATTCCAACAAGGAAATCTCAGCAGACAAATCAATTACAACATGGCATTTTAATTGAAACCAACAAGATTTCTGGCAGATTTTGTGCGATTCTCTCTGATTACATTTAAAAGCAGTGTAACTGCTCCTTTAATATTGTAAGCATATTTATGTTTCGGTTTCTTAAAAGGCATTCAACAAGCAATCAAGGAGGGCTTAGATCCTGGATCAGAGGAATTTAAAACATGGATAAGTGTGTATGGTTGTGTGTGGGCATGTGTCCTCTTCAATTGCATGGCACTGGCCTCCCTCCCTTGGCATGGTGCATTGCATGGAACATTGCTATTTAAACAGGCAGCCCTTCCCTGAGCTTGCTTTCTTCTCTCTAATCTATAGTGATAGTCAAGGGCAAAGCACCACCTGGAAAGCCATCCCTTCTATGCAAGAAGAGCTGTCTTTTGATCAGACTTGACTCCCTGTTGTGCTTTTGTACTTTGGGGAAAGATAGCGCTGGAGCAGAAGTGAAGAGGAGCCATAAGCCAGAAAAAGGCAGGAGAGAGGAGGAAAATCACAGAAAAGCAATGGGGGTGATATAGAAGAAACAAGGATGAGAACAATTACTCTTCTTTGCATTCTCACACATGGAATCTGCCTCAAAGCTACTAGGGAATATTCTAGAGTTGGATAAAGTTATTTTTTTGGAGAAAAACTTCCTGAATCTTCTAGGGCAGGAAACTGTGCTCCTCCAGGTGTTTTGGACTTCAGCTTCCAGACATGTGTTGGTTTACTAGCTATTAGGAATTGTGGGAGCTGAAGTCCAAAGTGTCTGGAGGAGCACAGTTTAAGAAACACTGTTCTAGGGGATTCAGTGAGTTGGAATTAGCCCATGATCTTGTTGAGGTATTACGCTGACATGGCTGCCCCCCCCCCACCCACCCACCCATATTGACTAAAGAGACATATAGCACCTCCTAATGCAAACTTTGTCTGGCTATGCAAAAACTATGGCACAGCAATTGGGATTAGCTCCGATCACCAACCTTTGTTGCCACTGATTATGCTGGAACAACTTCCTGCTGCAATTCAGTCGGCTGCCTTTGCCTTTATTCAAATTATATAAAAAGAATATCCATCTAAAGCTTAGGAAGAATTTCTTTATTCTATGGGATTTCAATTGTGATTGCCTTAGAAGGTGGTTGACTCTCCTTTGGATGTCTTTAAACATAGATTGTATGGTCATCTTCCACAAATGCTGTGCAGTCCTTCATGGCAGGGGATTGGTTTAGGTGGCTCTTGTGGTCCTTCCCAAATCTAAGAATCTGTGATGCTTTATCTTCATTCTCTGCCCACTTCAGATAGGACCATGGTCCACCCCCTGAATTCAAATATCTTTTCCTAGGACTATGTGATAGCTAGAGAGGTAAAATGCACTCCCATTCAGGAGTGAGTTTCATGTAAGTATTTATTTATTTATTTATTTTTATTTAACTTGTATACCGCTTGACACACCTTCTCTTATTATGTTTCTCCCCTTTGTTCTCTATTTGTGGCTCTCCAAAATCTACAACAATGTTGGTAACAGCAGACCTCCAATTAGAATGCTCAAATGCTAGGGCTTCCTAGATCTTTGTGTTTATTCCATTTTTTAAGGTTAGCTTAAGTCCATCTATAAATCTCCTTTGCTGTTCACTGCCATTTCATTTTCTGTTCTTGAGAGTAACTGTTTGGGAGACAGTGATTGGGCATTTGGACAATGTGGTCAGTCCAGCCAAATTGATGGTGGAGAATCATTGGTTCAATGCTGATGGTCTTTGCTTCTTCCAGAATGCTAACATTTGTCCACCTGTCTTCCCAAAAAAAATTTCAGGATTTTTTTGAAGGCAACAGTGATGGAATCATTCCAGAAGTTGAAAGTGACATTTGTAGACAGTCCATGTTTTGCAGGAGTACAACAAAATTGGAAGGACAATAGCTTTATAAACAAGCATCTTGGTATCTCTACGAATGAATGTACTGAGTTACACAATTGAACTTTATTGCTGGAATTATAGAGGGGTTGGTAGGTGCCTGTTGTTAAAACCCTTTGGTTTTCTTGATGTTCTGTGAGAGGCCAAGCTTTCATATGCTTCTGCGAATGAGTTTACAGTGGCTTGTAGGTATTCCTCTGAATGAGCACAGACTATGTTATTGATATAGCAGTGCTCCAAGAGACCAGGAGATGAACAGTTGAAGGAAGAAAAAGGAGGCTACACCTTCTTCTGGAAGGGACTGCCTTAATAAGAACAAACACATGGAGTCGGCTTTGCTATCAGAAATAACCAGTGAAGCATTTGTCTGAAGCACCCATTGGCATTAATGAATTATTTTCATCCCTCAAAATTAATATTGCCAGAAACTAGCAGGCAACTATCATAAGTGCCTATGCACTAACACTAGATGCTGATAAAGACATCAAGGAAAAATTCTACTGTCAGCTGGATACCATTCTATCTGAGATATATATGGAGAACAAAAATCATCTTTCAGGGTAATTTTAATGCAAGAATTGGGTGAGATTTTGGCCTGTGGTCAGGAACAATAGGAAAATACTCAAAAATACAGATCAATCAGAAGACAGACCACATGTCCTTGTTGTCCTTTCTCTGTGTTTCTTCTGTTTCTACCTCTGTCAAATTATATATTTCTTTAATGACATAGTTGTCAGCAGTCTTACTGAAATGGAACTTCAGGAGATCCTGTCATGTTCAGTCCTCTTAATATGGATATAGTACTTAATTTTCAATTTGTGTCATTGGATTCTTTTTGGCATGTAAACTGTAAGCGTTAGTAGGAATCTGAGTTGGTCCCACGTGCTAGAGTCTTGATTGATGATGGAAGCTCTGCATTTATACATTGAGTAAAAGGAGGTGAATATAGCGACTCTCTACATTTGAAATACCCATTCATGTTCATTAAAGTATAGCACATCCTTCAGACCCCTTCTGACACCCATCCTCTTTCTCAGAAACTGGCATTGGGAACACAATCCCTTTTGGATACTATTACCTTAAGTTCCTTCACCTATGCTTTCCCACAACTAACTTAAGCATATACTTGAGACACACAGCATTGCAATGGTGAATTATTATACAATAATGTTGCTTAATATTTATTAAGATCAGTACTTTTTGTGTGTGATTCTTTACATTATAATGATAACTAGCTATTTTTTAGTTTAGTTCTTCATAAATGATTTTGTGATTTTTGCCTGTTTGTTTTATCTTGTCTGAGTTTTATTTTATTTGTGGCAAGGAACATGTCAGCTCCAAGTGACCTGCACCTCCATCCATGCATACCTTGACTAGGCATTTGTTATGCCTACTCCTAGTGAAAAGAGTATTTTTATTTCATTTGAGTATTTTTCTAGTTATGGGATGAGAGTGTCAGCAGCGACTTCAAAGGCAATCTTGCTGATACATAAAAATCCTGTATTCCAGCAGAATAGCACAGATTGGAAGAATAAGAAAGAAATGAGATGGACATGAGATAAACTAATCTATAGTTCAATTTGAAGATACAGAAGATAAAGATCTCAACAGTGCATAAAATGGGTAGGAGATTGATAATGTTGCATGCAGTGTTGTAGGGAATGGGCAGATTAATCCAATTACATGCAAGACAGAAGAAGAGAGGGCAGGATGGGGAGATTTGAGCCCAGAGTGGCATAAGTGAGAATTAAATCCACATAATACCATTAATTCATAATGATGCAAGAACTAGAAGACAGATTTCTGCCTCTTTCCCATCTGAATCTCTACTTTAAGAATGGTATGCCTGCTATTGTTGTTGTTAAAGTTGGGAGGGGAAATCGTTTTTTAAAAAAAAATATTTTCAGTTAAGGTGATAATGAAGGACACAGAAAGATCTAAGAGACAGTAGTTCAATGTCAACAAAACCAGACAGTAAATGATCTTCTCTTTAAATATGTGTCTGCCTACAACTTCAAGTGTCAAAGAACAATTGAAATGGCCTCTTCCATTGTTATTTTTTTCCGAAAAAGTAGAAGACCCTATTCAACACTAGCATACCAGATCCATCCTGGAATCTAGTAAAGCTGTTATGGTCTGATCTTCTCATATATTTTCATTTCTACAGTAATTTATGGGAGCAGCATGGAGAGAGATCTGCAGAGATAGATCGTAACTCTGAAGTATGGTATGAACCAAGTATGTGCTAGGAATTACACACTATGCCTGTGGCTAGACATTTTTTTTTCTGGGGAGTCAACTACTATTTCCAATGCATTCTCCCTGAATTTGTATATAAGTGAATGTGGCTATGTATAACCAACCATGAAATATTGAGACCAGACAGAAAATTGGGTAACAAGAGCCATTGTAGATCATGCCTGGAGATCTGCATTTAAAAAAATAAACCTTGCAAGGGGAAAAAAATCTTCTCTGGCCCTGAAGTAATTTGCTAGTCTCACACTTCACTGAGGGTGGGTCAGAAGATGAAGTCAGAAAGGGTTTACATGAGAGGAGCCTGTCTTAGATAGTCCTTTGTTCCATCTCCTGCACTTTTTATAGGCTTGGTATGGAACCCCAAAAGCTGCTGGTCTCTATTCATGTAGGCTTATTTCATGCCACGCATATGAATAGGCAACTTGGAACCTACCACACACAGAGAAACAATATATTAATGAACAAGAAGAATACAGCAAGAAGAATTTTACTTCCAACAAACATTAAGAACATAAATTATTAACACACTTTGTAGGAGACAGCTACATTTAATAGTAATATTAGCATATGGCTTTCAATGTTTTCATGTACCAGCCTTCAGGCCATTTACCGAGGACTGGTCAAGAGGCTATAGTGGCAAAAGCTTCTTTTGAGTTCATCTTTACCTCTGTAATAATATTTATATCAGAACCTTTTATTGCATTTGTTATATTCAAGCATAGGGTAATTCTTGATGAAGCACAATCAGTCAGAACACTTTATACATTTAATGCCTGTTTCTGTTCAATGATAGGTGTGTGGTTAAAAGGGGAAGAAGCAGTGGAAAAATATCAAGGTGTTATACATGGAAGGTAATCTCTTTTAGACCTGCTATATAAAATGAACAAATATAGGAAAATTGGATGAAAATCCCATGAATTCTGTTTCAGCATATAAAAAAAGAATATGTGTAAGCTCATTCACAGATGGTATTATACCCATTGCAGTTAAGTCAAGTTTCAAAAGATTTAAGTGTAAAACGTTGAATAAATTAGGAAAACCTGTGGTGGACTTGTCCTTTCATTCATCAGTTTTGGCAAGCTGTGTTTAAAAAGATATGTACTATTATTAACCAAGAGGTTGAAGATCATCCAGCAACAGATGTCTTAGCACTATTTTTGGGATCCAAGGAACTTATCCTACATGAAGAACAGATTGAGGTTTTTTTTCCCCTAGCAGCAAGACAAGAAGTAACATATCATTGGAAAGATACAATGAAAAGGACTCTGGTCCTTATGGAAAAGCTGAGCATGTTCATGAGTGAAAAACGGGTCAACCACATCCTTTATTCAATGTACCGTAATATGCACCTTTTTTGTTAATTATTCTATCCATAATTGTGGGCACCTTTTTCCAACAGTAATTCATAGAAAATGTTACTTATGAATTAATTAGTCATTCATTATTATGTTTTAAAAGTTTACTAAAATGAATGTGTACTCTCCATGATAAGGAATGCATTGCACACATGTTTTCCAATAAACTGCCAATGACCATAAACATATTTGCTGGATATCTAATTATTTTGTTAGTACCATCTTTCTAGGCTTGTGTGAAGAGACAAATGAATGGGACTTGAAGTGTTTGGAATTTTGGAATTTTAAAAAAGATTTTGGAATACCTGTATTTGTATATGCATACATAATAATTGCTGGGGGATGGGGGTCAGAATGAGCAGAGGATGATTGCACACTGACCCTTTATACATTTTTCCTTTTATTTTGACTTAACCTAATATGAGCTAAAAGTGTATTCCTGGAAGCTGCCATGAATGGCTATATATTCTCACTTTCGAAAGAAGATGCCCTGGAAGGCTCAATATAAAGTGAGAACTCTACTACAGAGAAGATGACAAGGGAGGTGTGGTGGAGCACACTAGTTGGAAGTCCATTGAAACCCTCAGGCCAAGTCCAAATAAAAGGACAGGTAATAATTATAATGGCCCAATGTGCAAACATTCAATCTTATTGTGACTGAAATTTTTCTTGCCTTGAAATTGCTGCAACACATTTTGGAAAAGATTATCTCCCGCTGCAGTCAACTGATGGAAGGAGCTGTCATGTTCCTCAGCTAATAAGTAGGGTTGTGTTTTAGACAGTGAATGTTAAGTGGAGTTTCCAGAAATACCTTATTTTAAAAGATACTCCTATTCATGGTATTATTCCATATTCCAAACATTACAGAATATCAGTTTCTTTATTCAAGTGACTCTTGCTTTGTGGAATACTTAAGAGATAATTTTGTGCATATCTAGACCTTGAATGTACAAAACTATCTCTTGATTGCCCTATGAGCAGTACTCAGGTTCATTGCCAACTTTAACTTTATAGGCTACTGGAGGAGGCAGGGCTGGATTTGCACCATCTGAAAGATGAGGTGGAATATCAAAGTCCCATTATGATAACATAATATTGCAACCAACACTGGGGTATACATTCTCAGAGCTTAACCTAGCTTTGGACTCTTTTTATATATCTATTCACCCCTGAGTCAGCACAGACTGTGGCTAGTCATATCTATGGAGCAAGTAAGCACTTTTGACTCTGCCACCTGATGGGTAATATTAGACAAAGATAGCAGGAAAGTTTTTGCTTACCCTGCAGAGGTAGACTTTGGGACCAATGTGAGAAATTGGCCAGGTATCATTCAGCATGGTGAAGTCATTTGACCATTGGACTCACTCAGCCATAGAAACCCTCAGGGTGACCTTGGGCAAGTCTCTCAGCCTCAGAGGCACCCCCCCCCACCTCCAGAAATAATGCTGCCAAGAAATTCCCAAGAAAGGTCCACCATAGAATTTCCATAACTTGGGAATTACTTGAATGCATACAATAGTAAGAAAAAGTGGTCGAATTGGTTACACTAAGAGGTAATATAGAACACTGAGGAATACTAGGGCTCATGAACACCAAACGTGTCTTTGTTTGAGTGAGGAGTTAGTTTCTGTGATGGCACCTCCAGTTATATGGGGCTGAGGAGCTAGGAAGTTGTGGTTGGCTCCTTCCCACATTTCTCTTTAAATGTTGGAGTTTTGGGGGGATTGATATGTATTGGGCCTCCAAAGTAGCAACGGCAACTACTTTTAGACTGAGTCAAGAGACTGGCAGGAAGTTCCAGGTGACTGATCTTGTAGAGGGAAAGGTTATAGTGGACCCCTGGCCTTGACCACAATTTTGATGCTTAGGAAGGCCTCACAGCAGGTTAAGAGTGTGGCCAGTTTCATAACCCATTGCATGTGTCTTACCTCTTTATATTCCAAATTGTCTCATGAACCAATTTTCCATGCATTCAGCTAGTGGTCATCTGAAATATGTGAGCAAGACAAATTGTTCAGGTCAAAATCTTACATCAAAATTGTTGTGAAATTCAAGCATAATACTAACATTTCCAGGCTAATAGAACAGGCAATCGATTGTATATTGTATAGTAAATGTTACCATAAGGAAAATTGTTCATCTGCATAGTTATTGAAAAGATGAGTCCAGTAAGACCATAAGAACGGTCATTCCTCTGTGTTTTCAGCAAAGTATTTAAGATTACTAAAATATTTGCTTTGTGTTTTCTGCGCTGATGTTCATAGTTTACTTTTGAGTTTAATAAAACCAAAGTATGACTGGTAGGACCTGTTGTCTTTAAAATGTGCTTCACAATAAATTCAATATAAAATGGAATGTACATTTTTTTAGTTTCCTGAACTTCCAGTACTTGCAGAAAACTCTAAATATGGAGTTTGTTCAAAATCAGTTCATAAATGTGAATATTGAGCCAAAAATGCAAAACTCAGAAGTATTTGCTTGAGAGCAAATCTGATATTGTTGTATCAGGTCTACAACTAAATGTAGTACTCACTGTGGTGCTTTCAGATAACCAAGTTAGATTATTAATTGATCAAGTAGAAGACATGTATGTATAAGCATGACAGACAAATGGATTCAATAAATTACGTTCAGATAGTAGCAAATGATTGTGAGAAGTTTCTGTCTGACAAGGATGATAGGTCACACAAAGCCACATTTGTTGGCTACAATGTTTTTAAGCCTTTGCATGTTAGCCTGAAACAAAAGCACTTCCCCTCTGTAGAATCTGAGAGTTCAAAGAGACCACAAGGATCATCTGGTTCATCCCACTGCTGTGCAAGAATACAGTCAAAGCACTCGAGACAATAGGTAATCCAACCTCTGTTTAAAAAGCTCCAAAGCAGGAGACTCCATGACTCTAGAAGACAACATATTCTATCAAACAGCTCCTTATCATCAAGAAGTTCTTTCTTATGGTAATTGTCTTATAATGCTTTTACTATGTATGATATTTTTATAATATATTTCCATATAAAATAATATGCTCATTGTTCATTTGTAAGTTGTAATAGCTTACGGCTAAAGAACTTCACTACAAGTTGTTCAAGTTTTTTTAAGTGTATAAAAGTATATCAAACCAAAAGCCATTAAATACATATGGCCATAGTACTTTCATTCCCAAAGTGCTTCACTACATGTAGCTTTATTTAACGGACTTGTTCTGCTAGTTATTTCAACATATATACTCTCTCTGCATGAATGTATTAATATTAAAACCAATATGTATCTTTTCATAATATATTTCAACTAAAGTCATAGATGTTTCATTTATGAAACTTCCCACAGAGTTTCCCCATCTCATCTATTCCATTGTGTATGAGCTATGGTCGATGATTTTTAAAAATCTTTTTACTTTTTAAAAATGTATTATTAGAAGTATATGCATGGAGCATTTTTTGCCCTTTATGCCTGAAGTAAAACAAATCCTACAGCTGTTTGTTTGACTGACCCACCCATTAGAGAAGTATTCAGTATTCATGTAGAATGAGTCGGCAGTGCTGGGAATTTATTTTAAGCCCTCTCTTTAGCATATGTGTGGCAGCAGTTTGTCAGCAAATTGATTGCCAGTATGGTCAACTTTCCCAACTTTTTATCCCAACAGCTCCTACAAACTTCTGACATTTCTTTGTTATGGTCCATTCTGTTGGCAGAGTGTGTGTTCTCCTTCACAACAGGATTAGCTGTTATAAGAGATGTATGCAACAACAGTGAGTGGAGAGAAGACAAACAAAGTGTTAGGCAACAATGCCCTGTTTTTTCCTGTTCAGCATTTCCCCCTCTTGCCTGCCCTATCAGTGACCTTTTTCTGCTACTGTCGTCACTGAGACATGCTGCTGTTGCTGCTGGAGAAGAGAGTAACCAAATCAAAGAATCTGGATGTAGGTGGCACTGTCCCTTCTCATCTCAATAAGGCACATGAGTTACTCAGCAAGCAAAATGGGCTGAGAAGATGACCACTATTGGGTAGCCATGACAGGGGTGATCCATATACCCTAGGGCTTGATTATTATGTCACAACCATATATATATATATATATATATATATATATATATATATATATATATATATATATATATATACACACTAATAAATAGAGGACAAGCCCTCTTTTAAAGGCTATTTGGAAGCACTCCATTTAGTACCTTTTCAGGAAAACCTTAGAGCTATCCTTTATAAACAGTGGCAGCTAAAACCTTTGATATTAGCCCACTATTCTGGGTTGTATCCCATACTTTAAAAACACTTTCTAATGTATCATATACAGAATGAAAGATTAGACTCACAGCCTCAAAAATGTATGAAATGCTGATGACACAATAATAGTTGGAGAAAATATCAAAGATTCGGAACCACTATTAGTGATGAAAATTAAGGGAAACAGTGCAAAAGCAGGGATACTGTTGAATATTAGGAAGACAAAAATAATTTGTATAACTTTAAATTGGGTTATAAA